CAGGTCCTAGAATCCAGCAAACAGTAGCACAGGAAGGAGAGAAGTAAAGACACATGAAGCTGAGTTTCTAGGTAAGGATGATTTACAAGAACTGCTAGTGCTTCCAGACAAATTACATCACACCTTCACAAGAGGAAACAGGAAGAAGTTGTTTGAGGTTAATTATATAAAATATATTGAGTATTTCATCAAAATAGGTTTTTTGGTGTGTAATGCTTGGAATCAGACTTGCCATTTATTGACCATAAAACATGTCAAAAGTTAAAGTATGCTAAATTTATTGAAAAAGAAAACACACCTCACATATTGATCAGAATTACTGCATATAAAAACAGATGTTTCAGAGCAGATATTTTGGGTAGTGAGTGATCTTCAACTCAAATTTTATCTGTTAAAAATGTAATTTTAGTATACAATCAGCTTACTTAACACAATTTACATGTGCAAAGATAATATTTACATATGTACACGTTTATGTGTGCAAAGATCATATGAGAAACCATGTCACAAATAGTATTTTACATAATATTACCAATATATTTAAAGTTATTTCATGGCTAGGCACTTACTAACAATAACATGCTTTAAAACACTCATTTCAAAATTCACTTTACAAACAAATAATATTTTAAGCTTATTCCTAGAGAGAGCCTAAGAAATGAGGGTTAACATTGGCTGGGAAAAAATAATTTAAGAATCTTCAAATACAAGTAGAAGCCAGAATGTATTATAGGTTCAATAATAAGATGCAACTATATGCTTCCTACAAGAAACCCATCTGAAATAATTAGAGGAAAATTCATCTAGAGTAAAGACATAGAGGAAAACATACCCAACTAACAACAACCAAAATAAAAGTGGGTTATTCACATATCTCATTACAGGCAGTATTACCAGAATAGGAGCTGTACATGCCATATCATAAAAGGCCAACTACATGGAGAGAATGTAAGAATTCTCATGTGTGTGCCTCAGCTGTTTGTATGCCAAAAGTCCTAGAAAAGGTTAAAACTTGACAGACAAGCACAGAAAACTAGGCAAATCTATAAGCCCAGACAAATGTTTTCAGTATCTTCCTCTTAACAATTGCCAAGGCAGGCAGACAGGAAATTATAATACTCAAGTCCTGAACAGGACAACCAAAAGACTTATTTAAATGAGGACATCAAAATAAAAAAAAAAAGTCTACACATTCTGGGCCATCAAAAAGACCTTGAAAATATATCAAAACCACATGAAGTATGTTCTCTCACTACACCAGAATAAAACCAATGAAATAAATATATCTGCAAAACATCAAAAATATCTAGGAAAGAAACAAAATGCTTCTAGACCCAACTACAAGACAAATTAAAGCCATTCTAATTGAAAGTGAGAGCATGATGCTGAAAATAAACCCCCTGCCCCGGGAGCAGGTCCACAAAGCAGTTGTTAACAAGGACGCACTAATGGTGACCTCCAAGTGAGAGCCCTACCTGGAATACCTAAGTGAATGCAAACTGGCATCCAACTAAACCTGAAAAGTTAAATAGTAAAATTTAGAGTAAAAATTAGCTACACAGAAATAAAAAATAAAAAGTAATAAAATTAAAAAATGGAAGTCAATAAAGCCAAGTTTCATTGGTTGATTCTTTGGGAAGTTCTAAAATATTGATCAATCTCTAGCAGATCAACAAAGAAAATAAAGCATGACACAAATTACCAATATCTGAACACAAGAGACATAACCAAATGTTCACATCACTAAAAGGACAACAAGGGAATGTTATGTAAAGCTTAAACACAAATATACTTATCCAAAGGAAATATTGTAGTCAATTGATTAATAAAATCCAACATCTATTTCTAGAATACAAGCGCCTACTAGAAAGCAGCTCAGGTTTGTAGAGAGTGCTGCCAAGGGCAGCCACACCCAGACTTACACCCAAAGGTCAGAACAACAGTACTTTCCTGGGGCAGCACACTCAGAGGCCACGCAGTACCTTCCCCATCTACTTTACACCACAGACCTCCAGCTGGCAAGCTGAGGAGAGGAAGCACTGACATGGTCTGAACGCCAGCAGTCCCTGGGTGGTGAACTGTCTGGGGAGGTTTAGGTGGTACATCTTTACTGCAGGAAGTGTGTCAGGAGAGGGACAGGCTTTGAGAGTGTAAGAGTTCGCCATTCCCAGTCGGCTCTGCTTTGTGTTTAGGGTTTGAGAGTTTGGTGAGTTTCCCACCGCAGCTGCTAAGCTGTCCTCCATCACAGGCTCTCACCCTCTAGAACCCGAAGCCCGAATGATCTCTTCCTCCCATACGTCGCCCTTGATGTGGTCCCTCACAGTGACGGGACAGCAGCCATGACCGCGTCAAGGACAAAAGGAAGGATGCAAAAGTGTCTAACTTATACTCAGAAATTCCAGGGTTCTTTCCAGAAAACCTACTAAAACTGAGAAGCAATATTTGCTCATTACAGGTTGGAAAACTGAAAACGGGGGAGGGGATGGTGACCCAGCTTACCAATAATGAAAAGCCTGAACTGAAACCAGTGTGCTAGTACTACTGAAGAAGTGGGGCAACAACCTAATGCCCTGAACAGGCAGTGATGTGCTCTCCTCATGTTCACATATGAGCATGCTCAGACCTGTTCATACACAGGCACGCCCAGTCCTGCTCACACACGGGCACGCCCAGTCCTGCTCACACAGGGCACATCAGTCCTGCTCACACAGGGCACACCCAGTCCTGCTTACACAGGGCACGCCCAGTCCTGCTCACACAGGGCACACCCAGTCCTGCTCACACAGGGCACGCCCAGTCCTGCTCACACACGGGCACACCCAGTCCTGCTCACACACGGGCACGCCCAGTCCTGCTCACACAGGGCACATCCAGTCCTGCTCACGCTGGGCACACACACTGCAGCCAAGACATCACACCCCAAGCCTAACTCAGTCCTCATCAACATGCCAGCCTGCTTTGTTATAAAAACTCACAGGGCGCCGGGCGGTGGTGGCGCACGCCTTTAATCCCAGCACTCGGGAGGCAGAGGCAGGCGGATCTCTGTGAGTTCGAGGCCAGCCTGGTCTACAAGAGCTAGTTCCAGGACAGGCTTCAAAGCTATAGAGAAACCTTGTCTCAAAAAAAAAAAAAAAAAAAAAAAACTCACAGGGCTTAACAATGTTACTCAGAAACCTACGACATCAGATATCAAGTAGCCACTTGGTTGGCTACAATGTGGAGGGCTTTGCACTTCCTGGTTCAAGGCCAGTAAGACACCCGTATAAAGAAAACACAGCATCTGCCCAGGTTGGGAAACCAGACAGACAGAGGGCAGTTGAGTCCACAGACATATGGTAACTGTTTTCTGACAAACACGTACAGGAGATTCAGATATGGAAGATTATCATTTTTCAGCAAAAGATACTGGACAAGTTGTGTATTGGGGTGGTTTGAGTGAAATGCCCCCCACAGGCCCATAAGGAGTAGCGTTATTGGAGGCCTACCAGACATGGCTTTGTTGGAGAAAGTGCATCACAAGAGGTGGACTTTGAGGGTTCAGAAGCTCAAGCCAGACCCAGTGACTCGCTTGTCCTTCCTGCTGCCTGAGGATCCAGACAGAGAACTCTCAGCTACTTCTCCAGCACCATGTCTGCCTGCACGCCACCATGTTTCCTGCCAGGAAGACGATGGACTAAACCTCTGAACTATAAGCCACTGCCAGTTAAATATTTTCCTTCATAAGCATCACTGTGGTCATACCATGGTCTCATCACAGCAATAAAACCCTAACTAAGATATATATATATATATATATATATATATATATATATATTAAAAAAAAGTTTGACTTCAAACAACACATACATAAATCAGTTTAAACTGTTAGATTTCAATATACTTATATACTCCCAAATTACAGAACATCTAAAAGAAAATATTTGGGGGACTGAATTAGGTAAAAGATATTTATATAGAAATCAAGACAAACATGAACACAGGTCACCTCTGGCAGGTGTCAGACCATGTGGGAAGTCCTCTATGCTCCGACCCATGGCTGATGGGGTTTGTTTCAGGCACCCTCAGCCCATCCTAACATGGATAATTCCTTCATGAGAATTCTAATACAGTGTACAGGAATACAGACAGCTGTCATTTGGCTTTCCCTTTAGTAAGCAGAGCAAACTATACTAAAATAGTGAGAGGCCAAAGATACTATATGCTACCCGAAATGATCCTCTGGCCCTGATTTTCTCTTTTTTCTTTTATTGTTTTTAATTGTGTGTGTGTGTGTGTGTGTGTGTGTGTGTGTGTGTGTGTGTACAGGTGCTTGCAAAGGCCAGAGCTATTGGATTCCCTGGGGCTGATATTACAAGTGATTACAAATTTGCACCATTTGGAGGGCAGAGGCAGAATTTTTTTTTTAACAGAACAGATTCCTATTTGAGTCTAGCTTATCCACAAATCTCCACCAAATTCTATACTTTATTTCCTAAATTGCAGTCAATTTTCTTCCTATTCTATTTAATAAGCCTTTCAAAAAGCTGCTTCCATTTTCATTTTACAAGTTTTATGTTATAAAGCATTATAGGAAATGTTTTACATATATTACTGACTATTGTACATGTTCTTCAATGATGGCTTAGTTAATGCAGCGTATCAGTTTGGCTTGTAAGACAAAGTTCAAACAGAAATTAGTACTTGTGGGCTGGAGAGATGGCTCAGTGGTTAAGAGCATTGCCTGCTCTTCCAAAGGTCCTGAGTTCAATTCCCAGCAACCACATGGTGGCTCACAACCATCTGTAATGAGGTCTAGTACCCTCTTCTGGCCAGCAGAAATACACACAGACAGAATATTGTATGCACAATAAATATTTTTAAAAAATTAGTACTTGTACAAAATAACCAAAAACTCCAGAATGCACAGACTACCTCCCTGTTAGTGTAGATATATTCTGTTTTTCTCTGTTTACTTTCCAATTTTACAACCTGAACATCACTGACAACAGCTGTCACAACAGTCACTCAGACTCTGAAGCACTCGGCAATCTCTTTGCTTCTGCGACCTTGTGAAGCTTAATTTAACATGGAAATGGAAACATGAGGAATCACAGATTAGGGGAAACCCACGCAGTGTGGGCCTGTGCCCTATCCTGAGTGTCATAAAGTTATCAAGCTCTGTTTACTCCAGTGGACTGTTCCTCCAAGCAGGCAGCTGATGGGGAGAGGGAGGCAGAGGGAACGCTGGCATGTGCAGGGTGCATGGTCAGCCCGTACCTGAGCGTGGAGCAGCTCCTCACACCTGTGAGCCTGTTTCTCGATTGCAGACACGTACTGTTTCTTGATGGCATCTAGCTGCTGCTTAACTGAAGACTGTAGAAGTGCCGACAAACAAGCAAAAAAAAAGAAATTATTTGGCTCCGACAGTTCCTGGAGCTGGCTCCTGGCATGCCAGTGTCTGACAGCTCAGCATCCCAAGCAGGGTGAGCTGCACTCGGGAACCCACACGCACGACAGTGGGGCGCACTGACACGGCACATTAAGCATCTATCTTTAGGTTTTACTGCTGCCAATAGTACACTTTTTTGGCTCAAATTCTACACACCTTCTTTAAAAAAAAAAGAGTCAAGCCATAGAAAATGAAAAAGAGGGTAAATATCTCTGCTAAATAGAAATTCCGTTCAGGAGAGACCATACAGGATGAAGAGCAAATGAAAGCTGATGGGGGGGGTGGGGGGGAAGAAAAAAAGCCAGACATATTTCACTGGCTGACAAAACTCCACATCCTCTGGACACACTGTAGTACCCATGGGCCAAGCATGATCTTCGAGACCACAAGGCAAGTGGAAGCAGATGGCGGCTCTGAGCAACCGAGACACTAAAGCCTGCACCCCAGGATGCTCATGCCCCTAAGATGAAAGGGTGGAGGTTAGGTATGTGTAAGTCAGCCATAAAGCGGTATTCATAAAAGGTAGCAGGGCTTGTGAGAGGACACTGCATAGCGTGGACTCCGGAAGCCCGGAAGGGGACATATGACATTACCGCTCCCAGAAAGTCCAGTCAGCCAGTGCTGGTGCCAATGTAGCCCTTCCTGGACATGCTCACAGGACTGCCAGCTTTTCCCCTTTCTGTTCTCAGTTCTGTGTGAGTCTACCATATTCCTGTGATATCTGTTTATAGACTCTAACATCCCAAACGTGCACAGGGCCCCCAGCACACGCTCCACTGTTAAGCCTATGGTATAATAAACTACTCACAGGCGGAACAGCAACTCAAGGCAGACACATCTTATGGGAAAAAGACCTTTGGCATATTTGCCAGTGAAAGAAAAGCGAGCCAAATCTCCTCATCTTTGTTTTGAAAATAGACTTATTCAGCTGGAAACAACAGGCATCAAAATCCTAAATAAACAGGCAGGCTTTTTTTTTAAGAAAACTAAAAATATTTTTTAAACCTCTGGATAAGTCTCAGATGCTCAGAGAACTGGCTCTTTCGCAATGGAGGTTGCGAAGGTGCTGTCCCAGCCGCACATCAGGTCCTGGCGGAGCAGAGAGAGACCAGTTCTCACCCACGGTGAGACTGCTCCTGAAGCCATCTCAGTCCTAGGCTGAGAACCTAGAGAAGTGTAAGGAGTGGTGCACAGAGAAAGCAAAATTAAGCCTCTGAGTGGGACTAGAAACATCTAATTTTCCTATGGCAAAATTTAGTACTTTTTTGTTAGCTTAAAAAATTGTTTTTGGTGGTTAGTTTGAGGCAGAATCTCATTATTTAGCCTTAGTTGGCCCAGAACTCACTCTATAGACCAGGATGGCTTTGAACTCACAAAGATCCACCTACCTTTGTGTTTCAATTGCTGGGCACACTTGGCATAAACATTTCTAGTTAAAGAATGACACAGACCATTTTCTTGAATAATTGAAGGACCTTCATAAGGAATGCCTTCTGGTTTTGAGATGGGTTGTCAAGTGGCTTAGGCTGCCCTCAAACTTGCTATGTAGCTAGGTTATACTCCTGTCCCTACCCCCCAAGTCCTGGGAAGACAGTATATATCCCCATGCCTGGTGAAACTGTCATTCTCTTCTGGAAGTAGAGTGTAACAGAACTGTTTAATTCAAGGAGTTGCTTTCACCTCCCTACTTGCTGTGGTCCCAAGCTATCCCAAATGCAAATGGCTCTTGATTTCTAGTCAGTTATGTTCTTAGTCCATATGTTCCCACTATGGAGACGTCACCTGAACAGCCTCCGGGGTCACAGCAGCCCTAGTCCTTTGAACACTAGTCGTTGGAGGATGGGTCCCTCAAGAGGTGTTCAGAGAGAAGAAGAAAAGGCCAGCATCCCAAGCATGCACACAACCTCCTATCTGCAAGCGAGGAAGACAGTGCACATTCCATTTTAAAGACCCCAGAATGTCGAAAGACAGAAAGCAAGCACTCTCTGATGTGCGTGTGTGTGTGTGGGGGGGGGGGGGGCAAGGCCTGCCTGTGGGCTGGGCACAGCAGCTGGTATGAGGAAGCCAGGCCAGAGTAGAGGCAAAGGCAGGGAAGTGGAGGTGGGGCCATGCAGGCAGGAGACCTGGGAGCCACCGCAAGCCCTGACAGTTTACAGTCCTCAGTTTACTCAATGCTGGGATGGTTAGTGCCTCAGTCCAGGAAACTCCCCAAAGCTACCCTCCCATCTCAGTTTTACATACTGTGGACACACAAAAACATGCTCATAGCAGCCAGTCATTTTCTGGCTTCCTGTGCAATAATATAAAACAATAATCATCTTGCCATGTGAAACACGCATGGATTTTAAGTCAAAAAAGGTACATTAATATCAACATTCCTAACTGTCTTCTGTAATTGTATTTATAGATAACTGCATGGGACAAAGGCTTCAGTCTGAATTTAAGATTTCCAATTCATTTTGGCTCCTGATTCAAGTTCAAATGTGCAGTCCCTATGACCCTGTCAGGAAAAGGCCATTCTGACCCCATATGCTCACCTCTGGGGAGAAGATGATAGCCCCACCTCAGGAGTGAACACCATGGGTCTGGGGAGATTCTATTTCATTTTACAAAAAAAGAAAAAAAAACCCTATTGTCTTAAGTGTTTTAACAACTCAATTGAGACATCAAAGGTTTCTCATTTTTTTCCTTGTTTTAAAAAAGAGTGCCGACAAGGTCACACAGAGGCTGCAGGCGATGCCTGTATCTGGGGTGTGAGGAGAGGGCTGGCATTCAGGCTTTTCTGTAGACTGAGGACCAGTGCCGCATTAATACACAATTCAAAGGAGAAATCTCAGCTGATGGGCGTCAATCTCAGTGGAACTCAATACAGTCTAGCCATGTTATAAAGTGCTTTGGGGGCTGCGAAGGCCAAAGCAAACCTCCAGGACAGAGGGAGAGTTTCCTGCTGGCCTTGCCGCTGCAGGATTCTAGTAACGTAAGAGCTGCTACCTCAAACACCACACACGTCTCCCAGAGAAAATGTCTTTTGTGCCACGGACAACACATTAAAATTAAGAAGTTTCTAAAATTAAGTGCACCACAGAGGCTGTGTATGTCTGCCTTCCAGATACTTCAACCTTTTTAAAAGCTGCCGCATGGGCCAGCCTCTCTCTCTGATGCCACAGCCTGGTCCTTGCGACTTGATCACAGCTATGGCTTCAGCTCAAAGAACAAAGAGAGGAAAGGAGAGCGATTCCTGCCTCCTCGTGAGTCCCCGGAGAGTGAGATGGAGCACTCGGTGACTGGTGCAAGAAGCCGAAAACTGGGGGTCAGCTAGGACAGCTCAGAACATCAGGACAGGAGGGCCTGGCTCTTACTCCTCCTCCACCTGTTTGTTTACCTGCATTTATCAACATAGGGCCCCTGTGCCCCAGTATCAGCAGTGGTAACTGGGAAGAGGTGCAGACCCTTCCCCCTTGGTGATGATGTTCTCTTTTATAATGGCGGTGGCTTTGCTCTTATTGATGACATTCTAAAATGGGATTAGTCTAACAATTTCCTGATTGTTTTGTGTTTTTGTTTTGTGTTTTAAAGTCCTCACTGTGTATACATAAAGTAGACTCTTGGGGAAAAAAACTGGAGTTAACATTACTTTTAGTAGCCACTAGATTTAAAATCATTACTATTTTTCTTTCCAACTTGGCGGGATCTACTCATGAAGTGCAGGTCTCTCGGGAGAGAAGAAAGGGGGCCTCCCATGCAACCTCTACCAGCGCTGAGAGCTGAGAGACTGGACTCAAATCAACTCACTAGAGCGGCACAGAGACACACCTGCCTTGACGTCCTGTTCATGAGGAGCAAGGTCACAAGACACCTCCACAGGTGGTTTGCAGTCCCGAGGTGACAACAGATGACAGAAGCGACTGCATGAGGGGCAGGATCTGAAATCCTTAAGACCTGCTGGCTTCTTAGAAGTCAAGAGTTACTCCCCAGAACTCAGGCTTGCCCAGGGTACGGAGCAAGCCACACAGACACGACAGTGACACTCGTCATTCCGTGCCTAAACCAGACTGTGACTAGCTAGCACGGGGTGAATCTCACTGTTAAACAGTGTGAGGTGGCCTGGCAGCCCTGCCATCGACACATGCTGGTCTTTGCCAACACTCCCCAAAGGGGGGAGGGACACATGGGTCTCCCACAAAAGTCACGAAACCAAAGTGTGCTGATAATGGCAAGTAGAGAGGAACCATGGTTGACTTTTCCACTGAAATCCCTCTGCTACACAGCAAGCTGACAACTCTTCACAAATCAGATGGACTTTAAGTTCTAAAAAGGTAGTCACCTGTTTTCAAATTTTCAAAATTATTCACTGTATATGTGAATATATCCAAAGACAAACCCTTTGGTAATATATAATTATATACACTCTGTGTGTGTGTGTGTATATATATATAAAATTGTGCGTGTATATATAAAAATACATATAATTTCATATTCTCACACTGGGAATACACAGAAAACTAGCTAGAAAGTAAGAACAAACACAACTCAGCCTTTCTGATCATGACCGTAAGCTACACTAGTTAGAAACAAGACAGACAGTTAAGGGTTTCTTGGATCATTAGATCTCTGCCTGTCCAGACTCAGAATCTATTACACATATAAAGAACAAATTTAACCACTTCTCTCTATATTGATCAAACAGGAGAAAAATTTAAAAGAAAAATACATTCTTGAATATGGTCGCCTTTGCAGAGCTGTCTATGAACACACCCTCCGCACTCAGGAACTCAATTTAGAGTGAGATGTCAAACTCCTGTGTCCCTTTCTCTCCTGGCGGCAGCCATGGCACCTGTTCCATCACACTGAATGGGATGTTGTTGTCAAACGAGTGAATGCACCTGTGTTACAAGCATCTCCATTCTTTGTCCACTCACTGCTTCTCAGGCACTTTT